GGTCTGTGACCCTGTCATATTGTTCTTCTTGGGGGTCAGTTTCAAAATGCATAAATAAACTGCAGCTTCTGTTCTGGAGTGTTTTGCTCCCAGACATGCTGTTTGAATGTGGCCCAGAAGTAAAAAACTCCAGCGGACATTGCTCTGGAGTTTATTTTTACACAGCATGTGAAGCCTGGCTGGCAGGGGACCCAGCGAGTCAGCCTTCCGGCCCAGGGCTGCTCCAGCTGGGCTCCATGTGCTGTGGGGTGGAAGGGGGAGGAGGGTGGCTGGGGTGTGGTGTGCCTCAGCATGGGGCTAGCCAGCAGGCACGCTGCATCCCAGCCAGCCCCCCCAGCACGTGGACATGGGAGAAACAGGCAGCTCTGGGCTAGCTGCTCCCCCTGTTTCCATGGGCTGTGGAGTGGCTGGCTGGAGTGCGGTATACTTCAGTGCAGATGCTGCCTGGTAGCTAGCCCTTCACTGAGGCACCCTGTGCCCTTACCAGCCAGGGCAGTGTCTACGTGTGCGCTGCTGCACATGAAGGAACCCCGCAGCAGGGTAGTACTTGTATTTTACAAGACTACCCTGCTGCAGAGTTTATTAGTTTCATGCACCCTAATAGGGGCATATGTATAGATGCTGAGATGTTTACTGTGCAGTTAGTCAACTATGCAGTACACATTTCATGTAGACATGCCTACAGGTGGCCAGAGGAAGTTAAAATATGCATTTTCACCTAGCAGTTGTTTGTGAACATTTTGCTCCATTTAGGCCACCTGTACATGTCACATTTTTGCTGTAATTAACCTGAGGCTTGCGCGGGGAGTGTGCGGGGGCGGGGGGGAGCACCTATCAGGGCTGGCCTACAGGTGGCCCTGAGTCTCCAACCAGACCCAGGTCTGTCCAGGCTGGGGCTCATAATTAGCTGATTGTCAGCTCTGTGTGTGTGGCTGCAGCACCCAGCTTCCAACTTGCTGGTGCAAGGAGAACCTGGGATCATAAACTCTGATACCCTGCATCCAGTGGCCCAACCGGAACTGCTGGGTGTGGAGTTTATGTCCCCAGCAGGGGATGCCCTCTTTGCTAGGAGCCTCTGATCCCCTATGCCTGGCAGCCCAACCAGAGCTGCCAGTATGGGGATCGTAATTCTCGGCTCCCCCTGCACTGGCAAGTAGCAATGCTGTGGCTAGGATCTGATTCCCAGTCTCAAAAGCACACCTCCTGCCATGCATGTGTAGGATGGCAGGAGGCACATTTGTTGGGAGTGGGGATCAGAACCCATCATGCCATTAAATGAATGTATGCCAGGGGCTGTAGTTGCAAGCTTTTGCTTGTGTTGTGCAGCTGGTCCTCTGAGTCACATAGAAGAGTCTTCTGATTGAATCATTTTAGACAGGAAGGTAATCAATGATACATGATGCATTTTCAGACAGATAAATACTTGTGTTAAAACTTAGGGAATGTGCATGACAAATCAAGGCTTCTCTTAATACTCTTAATACTAGAAGCAACAGTCCGGCCACACTGCTTGCTTAATACTAACAAAGAACTGAACCTGATGCTGACAAAATGAAGTCAGCCTGTATGCCAATGAGAAAATTCACACGTCTGGTTGTTCTATTCATTTATTATTTGTTTAGACTATCCAGAGTCGAATTATTGTTATATAAGTGATTAGTCTTACAGCAGGAAGAAACCATCATTTTCGTCTTATTTCATCCACATCTGACTAAATGATAGGCTGCTACAAGATGGACCGGGGATGATAATCACTCCCCCCCCCATGGGTTTCTCATGCCCCACTTCCTGTTCTTCATCTTTACCTCCTATGTGAGGATTCATGGAAATGGTGATTTCACCTTCATATCTTTCCATTGAACCAGCCAGCTATGCCATGAGATGTATGGTTAACAGAGTTTGAGCCTTTCCCATGCTTTTCAGGAACACTTATGTAGAAAGTCAGTGGGACAATCTTCATTAGGTGTCACCTTCCAAATGCAAGGTACCAATCTGTTCCACTTACTATAAATCTTTATATAAACACTATCTGCCATCTAGCAAGATGGTGGTGGAAAAACCTTGGTATGATTCTGCTAGTTTTGGCTGGGTTGTTTTTTTTTTTTAGGAATATCCATACTGTCCTTATATCTCTTTGGACTGGAAATATCCTAAGGTCAGGCTTTTTCATGAGATATCCAGTAGCTCCTAGCTGCTGTCAGGGTCCATACTACTTTACAGCTTTTGTTTCCTTTTCTGTCCCAAGCCAGTGCTAAACAGGCACTTCATTAAACACCAGAGATGACTGGTTTTAGCTGTAAGGTTGAAATGTTTAACTATTATGGTCCAAGAAATATCCAAGAAGGAAGGGTTTTTTGGATGATAACTTTTACAGAATCAACTATTTCTTCCAGGGACCTGAGGACAAGCACTTTAGCCCCGAAAGCTTGTCTGACCTCTCTCCCAACTCTATAGTTGGTCTAGTAGACAATCTTTTTACATTTAGAGGAATTCATCCCTGCATGTACAAGGGGACAAATTTTGACTGGAACTTCACACAAGAATCTATCAGCAAAAGTGCATCCAGCAGGAGAAGAGTAGGAAGGAAATTGTCTGTATTTCAATGACTGTTCTCATTGAAAAATCTTGGAGGCCTTTAAAAGGTATATCTGAGTTATTTGGGGCTGCAGTCCATATATTTGTATGTTTCATACCGCCACAGAACTCCCCAAATAAAGGTATCTTAAACACAGGAGGGAGTAATGCTGGAGACTGTATTTTGGAGTGCTTTTAGCAAGAAAATAGGTAAAATTTGAGATGCTTCTCTAGTATTGATGGCTAAGGATACATAACACATTTAATACAGAATAAATTGACTTTACTGTCTAATAAAAGTGGAGGAGACACAACATTTACTGACTTACTGCATAACATGTCTCTGTTTTCCAGGGTAAATTTATCCCATAGAAAACCTGGGGTAACTGTAGTACGTAGTAAATGTTGTGAAGCTGCTCTCCTAATTGACTTTATACTTAATTGACTTCATTGTGGTTTTAGTGATGAAGATCCTGCATTCTATCAATGGTGTGGTTTTGCAGCAAAGATGGGTTTATTGCATTTGTTTCTAAGAGTCTGCCAGAATCTGGTTACATTAGCTTACAAAGCCTGCGAAGTGCTTTGGGATGAAAGGGGATACACAGATGTGTTGCATCATTAATAGTCTAACTCAAATAATAATTAGTGTCAGTGATGTTTTTCTTACTGGAATACCAGCCTAGTGAGAACACATTCATAAAAACCTCTACAAGCCGTGTTGTGTCTGATCCAGAGGTACATAAAAGTTGAAACCCAGATTGGGATCTGCTATGAAAATGCACTCTTTTCTAAATTCCTGCTACAAGGTCTTCTCAGGTGCATGTTTTCTCCTATCTCCATATATTCTCTTCTACAACAGTCTCTACCATCTTCCACTCCATCTGAAGTCAAGGGGATAAAGGAAATGTTTTGCATTTTAACCAGACAATGTGTCAGATTCTGATCTCGAGTTTAGTGATGTAAATCTTGAATGACTCACTAACTTCTTTAAGGTTAGTCTGGATTGACATCAGTGCATTGTCTTACTTTTCCTGAAATAAATAGGTAGACTAGGATCTCAACAAAAGTAGTACATAGTAAGGTTTGTTACAGCTAGCAAGCTTCTAAAACATGTTGGTTTGCACAGATACCACACCTATAATTCCTGCTCTAGAGAAAGCCTGAAGCTACCATATTTACTTGAATCTAAGATGACCCTGAATTTAAGAGCCCCCCCCGAATTAGAATCTATGTATGGAAAATTTAAAATTTATAAATTTGTTAGCATTTTCCAGGTATAGAATCTAATTATGGAAGGTTTGTCTTGAACCCTCTCTGCTCCCCCAACTACTACAGCAGGAAAAGCAGTGACTAGAGGGGTCAGGTGGCTGGGGGGTTCAGGTAACCCCCTTGCCCTCACCCCCCTACTGCTCCCTGCAGCCCTCCTGCCCCCCATCACCTACACTTTTCTACCCCCAGGTCCTTATACCCTCTTCCTCTCCCTCTACTCCCCCCAGTCTCTGCCTCCCTTCTACACACTTACTGTCAGACTCTGGACTCTATTACCTTCCTGGACCACAACACATGGAAGTGCAGCTCCAGACAGCCACACAGGAGTGCTGGTGCTGCTGCTAGGCTAGGCAGGGAGCAGAGTTTCTATGTGCTCCATACCCAGGAGGCAATCCATACCAGGCTGGAGCTGAGCTGGCCCTGACATTAAGGGTGAGGAAGGGGGTGGGAATGGGGGACAGAAGGGGGAAGGCGGGGCGGGGCAGGAGGAGGCTGCTGAGAGTTTGACTCTGGCCCTGAACTGGTTCCAGGGATAGAGTCAGAGCTACAGGAGCTGCCCGCTCCCGCCCTCCACTTTGTAAATGAATCTAAGATGAAACCTTATCTTAGATTTGAGTAAATGTGATATTTATTCTCATGTACTTACAATGTTCCTAAAACTCTTAGGAAAAACTTGGTAACATTTACATTTGTGTGAATAATTAAGGAGAGAAAAATACAAAGCATTGATAAGATTCCTAAGAAATGCTCAAAATCAATATAATTACATATTTTGCTACAAAACCTAAATTGCCTTGTTTTTGCATCAACTGTATAAACAATGTATTTTTTTTTAAATCAGAAAAGGGTATCATTTCAGTAATGTGCTGCAAATGTGGATTTGCAAGGAAAATGTACCAATTTCCTGTGTTTTGCTTGAATTCAGTGGGGTAACATCACAGTCAAATATCACAAAAAATGAAAAATTAGTGCCGATACCAGAAAATGTGTGAGGGTTCTCATGAATAATGTCATTTAAAATACTCTGAGCTTTGCTAGGAGCATTGAAATGAAAAGCATTTGGTTTATCTATGCTTTCTTCTTTCTTGTTTTTGCATTTTTTGCACCTGTTTTTTTCAGTATAAACTATAATATTTTCACTGTTTGTTTTTTTCCAGGATGTGAAACAATGACATGCAGCTATGAACATTGTTTGATTTATTGCTGCTTGACTTACCAAAACTCCCCAGACACTTACATTTATGGATTTATTATTAACCTTTCTTGGATAAAAGATAAGAACGAATAAGGTAAAAATATTCAGTCACTTATTTCAATTTACAGTTAAAATAACCTTGATGTATATTATGGGCTGTCTGTTTACTCAAAGCTTGTTGATGGAATCAACATTCCCTACACAGTCACTATGCTGGCATTCAATTTCTTTATGGGAAAATGACATTTGATATTATGTTTGGGTCTGTTGTAGCTATTGTTTCCTGTCTCAGTGGTGCTGTAGCAAAAACCTGTTTCTTTTCTGCTCGCTCCAGGTGATCTGAAAGATCCCTTTCCATTAGGACACAAATACGGGTAATGAAAATGAGGGTGTGAAGAAAGTGAATCAATTGGGAATGTCACAACATTATAACATTTGCATCACAACATACAGTGCAAATACAAAGCTCCCAAGCAAGTGGAGTGCTACACAATCATTCTTGGCAAAGTGACAGCGCAATTCCCACTCTCCCCATCCCCTTCTAAGAAATAAATAAATAAATAAGACAGCCATTTCTTTATCCAGCTGTGTCATAATATGGAGCAACAAAAAACATAATAAGGAAAGGATAGGGCTCCATTTTGGTACGTATATGAAACAGTGCTATACATGCATTCTAATGGGTAGTAATGCTTCATGAAGAGCTAATGGGTAGTAATGCTTCATGAAGAGGCAGGTGTTGTGTGGGACCAGAGCTGGGTAGAAGCAGAAGAATCCAGTGAAGAGGGGAGCAGCAGACAAGTGATATAGATGGAGGTAGATGTAGTAATACTAGAACAGTATTCTCCAAACTTTCTGTTCTGAAGATCACTTTTTGGAAGTAAAGGTCACCCCAGGATCTACCGTGCCCCCCTACCCCCTACCCTGTCCCCCACCCCATGCACCCCTGGACCACGGAGTCTCCCAGACCTGACCAGGCTGGGGCCCAATCTCACTTCTGTGCTGCAGCTGTGCTGAGCTGTGCCCACCCAGCAGCCAGAGGAACGTGGCATCAGGCCTCAATCTGACCAGGTCTGGAAGTCTCCGTGGTCCAGGAGCATGTTGTGGGGGGCTCCCACTCCTGTGCGCAGCCCGGCGGAGGCCCTGGGAGCCCATGCCCCCTCCACCTGTGCTTGGGAGAAGGCAGCTGCTGCTGCGGGCTGCCCGCTGCACCCTGAGCACAGGTGGGCAAGGCATGGGCCCTCAAGGCCTCTGCTGAGCTGTGTCCAGTGGCAGGAGCCCCCTCACGCACCCCTGGATGACCAGATCTTCCCATACATGGCTGGACCGGGGCCACCCCCACATGAGTCCCACTGCTGAGCTGAGCCACACCCGCATGTGGCCAGCTGCAGCAGGACTCGAGGCACAGCAGCAGCAGCTTCTGCCACCCCTGCCCCTGCAGAGATGGGGAGGCAGCCCCCCACACCCCTGAAGGAGCCTCCCCCACCCCGGCTCCAATCCTCCCACTACCTGGCCGGGATGGGGCCCCACTTAACTTTCCCTGATGCTGGCTTGTCTGTCCAGTCAGCTGCTCACCACAGGGACCTCGATCTGGACCCTGACTCTTCCCTCCCCCACAAATTGGGGCTGCGGGTAGCAGGTGTGTGCATGTGCACATGCCCAGCTGTCCCCCCAGTCCAGGATATACCTAAAGAGGCTCTGAGATCTACCTGTAGATCAGGTTCCCCAGGTTGGTGATCACTGTACTAGAACAACAGAGAGCAAAATTCTTGCTTCAGGCCCCAGTCAGGACTGGAGACCACAAGACGTGCTCCAAAGTGGTTGAAATGTAAAGGTCACATCCTAAATTCTGTTGAACTCAACAGGCTTTAGATCAAGCCCTAAAAACACATGCAACATATAAAGAGCCGGGGACATGAAGAGAATACGCTGTGTCTTTGCCAGCTGGAGATTTTGATTCATGCTGCTTGTCTCGTTGAGGCCACAGTTTTTCATCTTTGGTTATACTGAATCATTTAGCTATAACTTTCAGAGCTTGAGCTGTGCAGATTGTTCCATTATTATATGGTTCCAGCCTCATTAACATTTTTAAAGAGGAATATTTAACAATAGACTGAGCTTGGAACCTGCCAACTAGACTCTCCACCAATGCAGATGATGATTTGGGGGTTGTAGCAGCTCTGCTTGTCCTTCTGTATACTAGTTCTCATGGCACATTCCTCAGCAAATCTGCCTTAGGGGGCTCAACAATTCTTAAATGACAAAGAGGGAAAAGAAAACTCATTCATGCCAGAAGCTGAACTGCAGTAAATTAAATAGAGGTGGAGTTACATGTTACACCTAGACCATACTAAATCTGTGAAATGTTAAGCAGTGTTAAATCAGCATGTGCTGGGAGCAGTTGATATTAACATTAACAATTGTATTAACATTTGGGGTTAATACCATTTCTTGCCTGAAGAGTTCTGACTTGCCACTGGAGGGCTGTCAAGTAGGGGCATAGCTAGGAGCCAGGACACCTGGGGTCTAAACCTACTCTAGTTTGGGGGGAAAGGTTGGAAATGGAGCATCCTGAAGGACTACAAATTGCTTGTTATCTTGGTGGAGAAGACTGAGATTAGCCTAAGATGAGGTAGGTAGCATACCTCAAAGTTAAACTTCACCTGAAGTGGTCTAACTTTGACATGTTCAGAGGACACTTAGCATGAGTTAATAAGCTTTAGCATGCAGAATTTCACATTTTAAGAGCCTTTAGTGTGGTTTAAGTGTAATGTATAACTGAACCCTTAATTGCCCAGACAAAGAACCTGGCTCAATGCAAAGGCAGCTCCGTTCTCCCAAACAATACTATTAGCAAAGTAAACTTCCAACACACTGTAAAGCATGGTAGAATGTATTATTGTTTTTTTTCTAGGTCTGTCCTGTAATATAAAGTCTAGTACTTTATAACACATTTCTTGTTTGCTATTGTCCATTCAGTTATAAGTTTATGAAATGTAATGGGCACCCAAAGGAATTTACTGGTGTTGATCAATAGGGGAAAAAAAACACCTCACTGATATAAATATAATGAATCAGTGCAATCTTCCTTTCAGTATTTTTTTTATTGCTAGTTTGTTCTGATTAACCCATCTGGTTTAGGTATAGGTTAACAGAACAACTCAAATTATTGGCAAGATGGCGGATGTTCCTTATGCAACAAATGCAAAGAATAAGGAATTTCCTTTTACCTTGCACAGCTGGCATGAGAGCCAGTTGCAACCGCTGGATTATCTCAACTGTAAAATCAAGCTGACTCGGCATACTAGGCTGATTTGGTAGGTGTATTGCTAGCAGGTCCAGGCAAGTGATTCTTTCCCTCTGTTCAGCACTGGTAAGGCCACACCTGGAATACTGTGTTCAGTTTTGGACCCCCCACTACAGAAAGGATGTGGGCAAATTGGAGAGAGTCCAGCAAAGGGCAACAAAAGTGGTGAGGAGGGGCTGGGGCACATGAGTTATGAGGAAAGGCTGAGGGAACTGGGTTTATGCAGTCTAGAGAAGAGAAGACTGAGAGGGGGTTTAATAGCAACTTTCAACCACTTGAAGAGTGGTTACAAAGAGGATGGAGATAGACTGTTCTCAGTGGTGGCAGATGACAGAGCAAGGAGCAACCATTTCAAGTTACAGCAAGGGAAGTTTAGGTTACATATTAGGAATAATTTTATCATGAGGCGCGTAGTAAAGCACTGGAACAGGTGACCTAGAGAGGTGGTGGAAACTCCATTCTTGAAGGTTTTCAAGACCCAGCTAGACAAAGCCTTGGCTGGGATGATCTAGTAGGGCTGGTCCTGCTTTGAGCAGGGGGTTGGACTAGATGACCTCCTGAGGTCCCTTTTACCCTTAATTTTCTATGATTCTATGAAAGGGGGGTAGAGAAAGGCAAGAAAAATGGCAAGGCCAGAGATTAAGCTATTCTGACTAGCCACAAAGCTAGGACTGCTTAAAGTTTTGTCTTCCCCTCCAGGACAACAGGAGAGGTCCTCACAGCAATGTGCCACTCTGAGGTAGAATGCCTTCTTATGCTCCCCCTGGATTGGTGGGATTGGAGTGGTTTTTTATCTCTTTCAGAGCTGAGTTGTGGCTAAATGCCAGGATCTAGAGTTCTGTGAGCAATAAACTCTTGTTAGTCAGGAAATAGAAATTATAAGCAGCTCAGAAATCTTATGTATGTGTAGGAAATGTTATAATGATTCAGCTTTCTGAAAATGGAGGGACCAGTTCCTTTCACGGTCGTTAAACCTTAATAAGTATGTTTTAAAAATAATCAATTGTTTTAGTCTGAGTGAAATAACATGTCTCATTGAATCTGTATTTTAAAGGTGCATTCAGGATTCATCTTTTTTTTAAAAGGTTTTTGGGTTGATTTGATTTAACAAGACAACTTTAATGTCCTGCTGTGGGAAAGGCGGAAATGGAATGTAGCTGAGTTGTACTGTGTGCCAGGATGCTGAGGCTCAATGGAGAGAAAATAACCTCACCAATAAACAACAGAAGGCCAATGGCCTAATCCTGTGCTTTGGGTGAACATTGATGGGGATTTCTTCAACCTGCAGAAGGATCCTCAGAGAGGCTGAAACTGCAGAAATGTGTAGTATGTGGGCAGTGCAAGTTCATTATGGAGATTCAGTCTAAGCAGATGGTATTAGAATACAGATATATTATTAGGCAGCTGTTTCCCATTGCTGTTGTCTAATGCATAAGATTTAGTATAAACTCCCTCAGGGATCACCCACCAATTTGTATGCTCCATTATCTACATACCTTATTTTTAAATCAGACAAAGTGCCACATTCTGATCTTGGTCACAAAGGTGTAAATTGGAGTAAATTCATGGTCTTGAAAGGATCTACACGGACCTTAGTGAAAACAGTATCTGGTTCATGTTTTTACTGCAGAGTCAACATACTGGGCAGGGATTAACACTTATAAACAAAAGCTAAAGAATGTAGTTTAGTTTTATTGAGAGAGAGACAAAAAAGAGCCTCAGGGGATGACAAGGTCCAAAGGTCACAAACTCCTCCATGACCATTTTAGGCAGGACATAAGGAAAAA